CTGGCGCTCAGGTACTGCGTGTAGCCCAGCTGCGGGAAGGACATCCCGGGCGCGCGGGCAGGGAGGGACAGGACGCACCGCCGACGGGGCAAGAGCGAGCCAGGAGTCGGCGGCGGAGCGAGGCGGGCAGCAAGCGGAGGGCGGAGAGGCGCCCTGGCCGGGTTCTTCTTGCTGGCTGGGGCGGCAGGCAGGGCAGGCAGAGAGAAACCCCGTCCGATCCGTTTTCTTTTTGGTTCTGCGAGCGGTCCCGTCTCTCCCGCTCAGACGGATCGGGGAATTTGCATGTGGAAGAAGGGGAGGAGGGGGAGGAGGAGGTGGTGGTGGTGGTGGAAAGAGGAGGAGGAGGAAGAGGAGGAGGAAGAGGAGGCGGCGGCCGCAGTGCGTGTGGGTAAACTCGGTGGGGCGTCTTCCCTCAAATCTCGGCTCGTCTGCGCTGCTAAATCCCTTAGATGTGATCTGATCAACAATTGAGCTCCGACTGATGCGCCTGCCCTAAGGTCCTCGGCTGATCTTTCAGATACAATTTGAAGTTGATGCTTTGATTGGCACCCACTTGAGCTCCAAGCACCGCCTACCCGACCCCGTCCCCCCCTCCGCGGAGCACGTGGTTTAGCAATCCTGCCAGGGCCACTTTGCCCTGATGTGTGTGTGTGTGAGTGTGTGAGTGAGTGTGTGCGTGCCTGCGCGCAGCTGCTGTGCGGTGCGGGGTGTGCGTGCGTGCGTATTTAAAGCCCCCGTTGCTGTATGACAACCTGTCTACACGATTTTACAGCTGTCCAACATTGGGGTTTCGCTGTTTTGCAGCCTTAGTGTGTCCCCTTCAGAACAAAACAAAACAGAAACGGGATCGGGTTTTTTCCAGCACTCCCACTGAATCCTTTGCAACTCCGCTCAGAGATGGTTGAAAGCGAATGGGCCAGTCAGGAAGTTAGATCTTTTGGAGGGTGGAGATGCCACTTACTTTCCACTGACTTTCATTTTTGTTTGGATAGTATATAATCGAAGCAGTAAGTGCAAACACAGAATTAAACCAACCGGCTGCTCTTCCCAGAAACCTCTTCCTTGCACTAGAAAGCAAGTGGATACTGTACGGGGGCAAAATATAAGGCTCTGTACTGCGCCTCATCTGCATTTGCAGCAAATAAACGTTTAAAAGACCCACGCGTTCTTGGATGGGAGTAAAGATGGAAGCTCGCCAATTTTGAAGGGGGGAATCTTTTTTGTTGCTTTCTGAAACCTCCAGAAGAGGAAACAGGCGCGGGGAGCGAACCATTTTCTTCGTTTTAAGAAATTGCCGCCTAGCGGTGCACAATTTGTTGTCTTTTGTACGACCAACCATGGCGTGGCCTTGGCATCGCTCCTCTGCTCTCCGGTTTCCATTCGCTGATTTCTTCCTGTTCTCTGCCATTCTCGCACGGGCCCTGAGGCCAGGCCGCGCTGCTCCTGCCACCGGGCGGAGTGGAAGGCGCCTTTGTATCTCCCGGGCAAGGTAACAGAGACCGCAAGGGGCGCCGCCCGTCCTCCTGGGCAGTTCGTCGTGGGGCGCCTAATGCCCGCCAACCAGCGTCAAGGGAAGCGAGACCACTCCGTTTCCAGACCAGGACATGGACCGTGCAGTCCCGACTCTCTGAAGGTTTTACCGCAAATAATTCTCGCTGAATCCAGGGACTTGTTCCCAGCTAAGTCTGTGTGACTTTCCCAGCTCTGGAGAAGGTGGAAGGTGCAACACAGTCAAGGCTTCAGACTCTCCAAGGAAGCTTCGATTCGGGGGACCTCTGTTCTATGTCAGACTATTTCGCCGTAGCTTTCCGGCCTAAAATGTGTTCCAACGTGGCTTTAATCTATGCCACAAAATCTTTAATCTACAACCGCAAAATAACAGCTATCACAATAACCAGTAAAGCAGAAATAGCCTTCCACTGGGTTTACTTCTTTGTAACTAGTAGGCAATTCATGAAAGTCACTTAAAACACTTATTAGGCCCACTAACTACAGGAAGGCAGGAGACAAAAATATATGAATGTTGACTATTACCCTACTTCTTTTGATGAATTCCTATTTCAGGTGCTGTTTTTTTCATTCTTTTCTTCTATCTGTATTTCAGACATGGATTATTTATTCTGCTTGGATTAGAACTTAATCTCAGCTGTTCCTCATATGTTGCTTTAAAAAAAAAATGTTCTGGACATGTATACCTAAATCGTAAAGTATCAGTGCAACAGACAGGTCTAGGCTTAAACCTGTGCATCATGTGAGTGTCCTTGACTGAACTAACTGCACATCCAACCCTGGATCTGTGGTTATGCATGGTGTAAAAGTCAGCCATGGTTTACCGAGTCCTGAGTCCCGCTGGGTTCGTCCTTAGTACTTCCTAATTTGTTCCTCTGTTCAAGCTTTCTCCCTAGGAGTCTGGTGGCATCTTGCTCCTTCCTCACCTCCCCACTGCTGAATAAAAGATTTGGGTCACAATGCAGCCTCCGTGATGTTCTTCTCACTCAAATCAATAGGACCTGTAGCTGTATTTTGAAACAGCCAAACAGAAGAGCCAGGACTGACTGACTGACTGGTCTTCTTTCCTCCCCCCCTCTTCCCCCTCCCTCTCCATCCTGCAGAAATCCCTCAAGTGACACCAAACTCCAGGATCCCTTGGGGAGAGGTTGGCTTGACGGCCATTAAGTTACGTGGCCACGTAAATAAGGACATACAGGACTTGGAGCGGGCGGGGAGCGCTCTCTGGGCCAGGATGAAAAAGAAGCTTCAAGGTTGAAGAAGGGAGGGGTTCACCCCTGGTAACTTTTCTGGGTAACAGTTGAGTGAAGGGTGAGGGGGGAGAGAGAGGGGAGAAAGAAGAGGCGACAGTGGTAAATAGATATAGTAGTTGGTTTTCGCAAAGCCTCTCAGAAGAAAAGGGAGAAAGGAGCTGGATGGGGCCGATCAAGTGTGCTACTTTGCTAGCTCTCAATAAAACTTAGCTCTCCCCTCCATCCTGGTGCTGCTGCTACTGCTCAAGTTCCTGGTTTTGTTTCTTCCTCCAAGGCCCATTGGGCTTCCCCCTCTCTGACATTGCAGCCACCCCTGCTTTGCTTCTCCAAATTTTACCTGTGGATCTCAACTTGGCCTTTATATGATATAGCCCCCACATCACAGCTTTCCTTGTCCAATTCCTTCCACTAGTTAAAGCCCTGATTAAATCTCCCACTACCTTCCACATACCTCTAAAATCTCGAGTTTTGGTGGGGGCTTCCTGGCTTTTCGCAGCCCGTACAAGGTCAGAGCCCCCCCCCCACGGGGGGGGGGGAGAGAGAATGTATGTCCCCATTCAGTGACACAGACTTCCAAGAAAGAATGCCTTGGAGTTTGAAGCCTTCCATCTAAGTGGATGCAGTCTACACATTTGCAGAGCGCTCTGCACTCTACACATCTCTTTTATGAAGTAGTGCTTTCTTCGAGGTAAGTATATATAGAAGTGCAGCCTGAATCGATTTTGAGAAACCTGGAAAATCTGGACTTCAGCCATAAGAAAGTTTAACTTGCCTCCCTCTCCCCTCCCCCATCCCTTACTGTCCCCTCCCGAAATAGGCAGAACGTCAGAAAAGCCACCAGCACTCTTGGGGCAGAGAAGAGTCTCATTCAACCAGTTACATTCCACTAGTTTGTGAGGACATTCCTCGGTTGAAATTAGCCATCAGGGCTGAAAAGGCTTAATTTTTGATGGATCGCGTTCAATGTTTTCTCCTGCGGGATTCGTGACACGAAGTTAGTCGGAGCTGTGTAAAGTTTCCTTTTCTGCCCCTCCCTTTCAAATGACACATCAAAATCCCTCTGATTCAGTCTATTTCTGGAATCTAGAATTTAATTTCTGAATAGTTTCCATTAAAAAAGGAGTACAAGTGATGCTGCCGATCTATTGGTTGAATCGCTTGTTTGTTTGTTTGTTTGTTTGTTTGTTTGTTTGTTTGTTTGTTTGTTTGTTTGTTTGTTTGTTTGTTTGTTTGTTTGTTTGTTTGTTTGTTTGTTTGTTTGTTTGTTTGTTTGTTTGTTTGTTTGTTTGTTTTTAAGACAAGGCGCCCCATCAACCAGAATAAGAGGAAAGAAACAAGGCCGGGATTAAAGCGCGAACGAGCAGGCGAAGGCAACGAGCTGGGACAAAAATAGAAAGTTTCTGAAAGGGATAACCCCAGATGGAGGCACCTTCCTGCCGAAGTGGATCCTATGCCTATTTATTCGAAAATAAAGGCCTCCCACTGAACGTAATGGGACTTGGTCCCCTGTTGAGGACTGCAGTCCCCGAGCACCCATCACCCCCACCCCGACTTCAGTGCATGCATTTCCTCATGACATAAATGAGACTTTCGAGTTCTTGAACGATGGCCGGAGCGTTCCCTGCTTTCACACCAATGGAGCCCTTTCAAAAAGTCTTCTCCGTATTAAGAAATCCTGAACTCGAAACCTTGTTTTTACTGTTGATGACGCGGGTGGTGATGATGCTTGGAGAAACTGATTTTGCTGAGAACCCGGGGACGTCTCCGATCGCTCATGGCAAAAGCCGGACCAAGTCCAAGGACTTTTCCAGCTGCCGGGATTTCGGCAGGAGTTCTCTTGCAAAGCAGTGACAGTGCAGGCCTAGAGGTCGCTGCTTGGCGGGGGTTAACCAAGGGGGCAGCTGCGGGACTGCTCGGGAAGGAACTGGGGCGACAGGGAGGGGAAAGAGGGAGAATATCGGATTTTATGACACCGCACTTGCTCAGATAAAGGCTGCGGTTCCGAACTTCTCAGACGGTTTCCCCAGCGGCTCTCGTGCGCAGCCGGCTGTTCCTCTCTCCAAGAGCGGCGGAAGAGACTGGCGAAACCCGCCGGGGCAGGTCTGTTAACAGGCTGCCGAAGTGTAGGGCTGGAGATGGCGGTGGTA